ACATTATTATTAATACAAAATGTACAATAGATTTTATGACTTATTGTAGCTGTAGTAATAATAGCTGTAATGTGATAAGGGATACACAGTATATAAAAAGTAAATTGTGACAACATAAATTCTATTTGTAAATGTTGGCTAGGGAGGTGTGGAATAAAAATGTAGGTTTTTATGCCATCAAAGGTAAGTTGTTATCAGCTTTAAATAGTCTGTTAATACCTATAAAATGTTCTCATGGAAACTATAAAGCAAAAATCTACAGTAGGTGCACAAAAAATAAAAAAAAAAGCACACCAGTTGAGAAAATTACTTAATCACGGAGAGAAAATTAACCTATAAAAGAACCAGAAAACAGTGAACAAAATGGCAGCAATAAGTTCATATTTCTAGTGGAGGTTAAGGTTAGGGTTGGAGAGCTTTGTTCTGGATTCCTCCATCCTTTGGCTCCAAATCAGGTTGATTCTGTCAGTGTGCTGCTGGCTGCCTCTTGGATTTCCCCTTTATTGCTCTCTGGATAAGATCTTCTGTTCCCTGGATCCCATTTCTTCTTCCTCTTTTTTGTTTTTGGATTCCTTCCCTTTTTGCCTAGGTAGTACTTCAATGCTCGCTTTGGCAGTACCTATACTAAAATTGCCTAGGTACTTAATCCTGTACTAATGCCTTAGGCTATGTAGGAATTAAATTCAGATTCCTTTTATGATCCAAGATATTTTTATGCTTTATGGTTAACTGATACTTTTTATAGAGTTGTGGAAAATTAAAGGTATACAGAATATATTTTTTACCTTTTATTATTGCTGATGAGAAAGATGATGCTATCATGATTTTTTCAACATTTTTAGGTAACCTGTTTTTGTTTTTTCCCCTTGTTTCTTTAGGTTCTTTTCTTCATTCTTGGTCTTCTGAATTTTCATAGTATTATAAAGTCTTTTATTTTTCCATCCTTGTAGTTGGTCTTTGAGTTTAAAGACTTTTTAAATTATTTTGAGAATTTCTCCATGTTTAATATTATCTCCTTTTTTTTTTGGCTTAACAAATGGATGACTATTGAGAGGACAAAAAAATATGGAACGCTTCACAAATTTGCGTGTCATCCTTGCTCAGGGGCCACACTAATCTTCTCTGTATCGTTCCAATTTTACTATATGTGGTGTCAAAGCGAGCACTTGTCTCCTTTTTAAAAACTTATTTTAATTATTACTCAGATTGAGCTCTCATGTGTCATCATAATTTTATAATATATAATTGAATCCAGAGCCTTGTGCACACCTAACCACATGCTCTGCCATTGAGCCACATCCCCAATAATGTTGATTTAAATTTTCTGCTGAGTTTTCATTTTGGCAGTATTGTATTGTGTTAGCTTTCTGTCAGGTGCCATCAGCTGGGGATCAAGCTTCTGACATGTGATCCTTTGGAGGAACTTAAGATACAAACTATAACATTTATTTAATTTTGGGGGCTTTTTTGGTACCAGGGATCGAACTCAGGTCCTTGTGCTTTCGAGGCCAGGTAGCGGAACCACTGAGCTAAATCCCAGGCCCATAATTTTGGTTTTTTGAGACAGAGTTTCGCTATATAGTCCAGGCTGGCCTTGAACTCACTAAGTAGCCTAAGCTGGCCTCGAAGTTGAAGAGATCCTCCTGCCTCAGCCTCCCAAGTGCTGGGATTATAGGCGTGCACCATCAAACCTGGCTCTTTTTTTTTTTGGTACCAGGGATGGAACTCTGGACCTTGCACTTGTGAGGAAGGCCGTGGCATCACTGAGCTAAATTCCTGGCCCTGACATATTTAATTTTAAATAGCTTATTTTCTCCAATAATTTCTCTTTAACTGAATCTTATCACTGTATAATTAACTTAGTTTTAAATGTTTTAGATTTTAAAACATTTTCTGAAGTCTTTCTGATGTCAGTTTTTCTGTTGTATTTTTGTATTATTTAAAAGTCTACTTTTAGAACTCTGTAGACCTTCTATCCAACAGTCCATTCATGATTAAAGAATGAGTGTTTAGGGGGGCAGATTGGAACTTTGTGTGTGAGGGACAGGGGATAAGGTTGTATGGATAATAAATTGAAAGTAAGGGCTGGGGAAGAGGGTATTGTTAGTTCATCATTCATTCATAGTACTGGGGATTGAACACATGGCCTTTGCACTGGGCCACATCCTCTGATTTTTTTATTTTTTATTTTGAGACAGGGTCTCACTAGGTAGTGAAGTTGCCCAAGCTGGGTTTGAAGGTGGGGTTCTCTAATATGGACCTCTTAAGAATGTTGGGATTAAAGGTGTGTACTGGCTGAGGGTGTCAGTTAGATGCTAAAGAGAAGGAGTGATTCCTTTTGGTACTAATATATTACCCAGTATTTCTAATTCTAGTACTCTTAAGGTATTTGTGTAAAATTTAGATATATAATCGTTCTGATTTTAGGAAAATGTGTAGGTTTGAGGGGGAAATGCTGAGTACACAGACTTTAGTCTATTTTTAGCTGTACCTCTTGGGCTTTCTCAGATTGGCCATTTCCAAATATTAGCTGCTTTAGGGTTTTAATATACACTTCCTTGTTTGCTCTCATTCCACTGAGACTTGTCTCAGCTGCTACTTCCTCTTTTGTACTGCAAGTTTTAATACTCTTACATCTGATTTTTGTCTTCTAAAATCTTCCATTATTGGATTGCTTTCTTGCCATTTTCTTTCATATTGAGGGTTCATACTATGAAAAATTCCAGTGTGATCATTTTAATAGGCTCTCTGGTAAGCAAAGATCAACATATATTCTTTTGCTATATTAAATTCATAGTTTCTCTGCATATAAAATGGGCATGATAATATCCCCCTGGTAACCACAGTGTGTGGACCAATGAACTCAACCAACAAATGGTTGCTGTATTATCTAGTCACTTCTTTGGAACCATTTATTTTATTTTATTTTTTTAAAATAAATTTTATTTTATTCCACTCCCCCCAAACCCGCCTCCTGAACCATCATTTATTGATCTCCTGTACGTCTAGAAGTCATTTGCCAATCTTATCTCAGTTGCCAGAGAATATCAGTCATATGCCTCTGTAGATTCCTTTCTACCCACTACCTGCTGTTGACACGAGTCCTTTTTGTTTCCTCTGTACAGTACTATACTAGTTTCCTCTTTGATCTCTGCTGTCTCAATTACCTGTTGTGGTACAATTTTTAGGTGACCATTTCTTGAGATTGTCTTTACCCCTTTGACCAGAATTGCCCTTTGCTTCTGTTTACTTAAAAATAAAGCCAGATTATGCACAGCAAACATGTAATAAAAAAATTTTTAAAAAGCAACTTGTCAACACACACACACACACACACACACACACACACACACACAGAAGAAGCCAGGTATGGTAACCCATGCCTGTAATATTAGAATTCTGGGAGGTAGGAGGATCACAAGTTCAAGCCCAGCCTGGGCAACCTAGTGATTTAGTGAAATCCTGTCTCAAAATTAAAAAAAAAATTTTCTAAAAAAGGGCCCTCAGATTCAGTCACCAGCAGGGGCAAGAGAGGGTATTACAGAAATTACAACATTTTACTCATAAACTTCAAACATCTGAAATATTAGGACATTCTTCTGTATAACCACAACACTTATTATGCCAAATTTGCTGTAATTCCTAAAGATATTCAAATGCCTAGCTTACATTAATTTTTCCCTTAAAATTTTAAGACTTCTTTTTCCAGATTGGTGCTAACTGAAAGATTTTCTGCTCTCTGGCTTGGATGAGTCTTCTTCCCTAGTTCCCTAGTTATCTCTGTACAGGTCAGCAGTATCTTTGATCAGACAGTGCAAGTAATGGTTGGCTTTTGGTATGAAGATTTACTTAGTCTTTGTTGTCCCTAAATTGATTATGTTCAAAGAAAGAAAAACATAGGTTGGGCATTTTTTTTTTTTTTTTTTTAAGGAAGCACTTTTTTTTTTATTTTAACCAAATTTTTTTTTTTTGAACCAGGGATCGAACTCGACTTTGCGCTTGCGAGGCAGGCACTGGAGTAATCCCTGGCCCCAGGTTGGGCATTTTTTGTGAGCATCTTCTGCTGTCTGCATCCTGGATAAAATCAACTCTTTTTCTATTGAAACTGCTAGTGCTATTATGTGTTCCATTTCCAAGTGTTTTACGGGGACAGTGATAGAGCACATATTTGCCCTTCCTTTTGCCCTAAATAGTACTCAGATAACATCTCAATATGATATAACTCACCTGTATCTACCTTAGATAAGAGACACTTTATGCTAACTTTGTTTTCTGGTTGTTTCCAGAGGCAGAGCTGGTAACCTTTTAGATAATTTGAATGTCTTATTTGTAAATTGTAGCTTTCGTTTTAGTGTAATACTACACTGTAACTTCTTTTGTGGTCTTTTCCATTTGAAAAGAATTTTCCTGTAGAGATAATTTGCATAGAGATTTCTGCTTGTATATCCCAGCAGAGTGCCTTACAGAAGTATTTTTGGCTGGGTGTGGTGGCACATGCATGTCATCCCAAGACTAGGGGGGAGGCTGAGGCAGGAGGATCACAGCAAGTTTTAGGGCAGCCTGGGCTACACAGTGAGTTCAAGGCCAGCCTGAACTACATAGTGAGACCCCGTTTGAAAAAAACAAATAAAAGTATCGTTGACTGCTTTTCTAGTCTTATCAACTTACCATTTAAAGTATACAAACTACCAAAGGAATATACTTGAAATTAAAATAAGTATTTGAGATTATAAGGAGGTGTTTGCATGAAATCATTTGATATTACCTTTGTATCTACAGAAAGAATGGAGGGAAGACAGAAATGGAGAATTTAAAAGGAAAGTTGCCCGCTGTGTAAGAAAAAGCCAAGAAACTGCTTTTGAGTGACATTTATTCAGCAGCTAGAAATTTCACTTATTTCAGGGTAAGCTCATTTTAAATATCATAGTATTCTTTTTGTCTTTTCATAGGTGCTGTGTTGAAGTTGTATTTTTTTGAATTGTTTGATTTCTCTGGTTTTGTTTTTTTTTTTTTTTTTTTTTAAAGCCAGTTGTATATGGTAGTACGTTCTTTTCACTGGTAGTAAAATTTCTGACAATCAAGTTATTTCAGGGTAGTTTCTTCCATTTTGCCTTAAGCCTACCATCCTGACTACTGCTGGACACTGATGTTTCTTGCATCTTCTTGTAATGAACACTATGATTGGTAAAGGATAACTTACATTTTGGTTTTGTACATTTTTAAAAAAGAAAAATCCCATTTCAGTTTACACTGCTAAGACCATTAAACACTCCCGCCTCCCTTTATTTGATCTTTATTTCCTTGGTTGTTGTAGTGACATGGCAAATAAAAGTTTCTCAGCAAGGCATGGTGATGCATGTCTATAATCATAGCACTTGGGAATCTGAGTCGGGAAGATCACTGAGTTCAGGGCCAGCCTGGACTACATAGTGAGACCATGTCTCAAAAAAACCAAAATTAAATGATAGCTAAAAAAGAAACTATGAAATTTCATATCTAAAGAATCTGAACATTTACCATTAACAACACCCCCCATTCCTTTCTTCTGTCCCATTCTTTTCTCACACTCTTAATTCTGGGTTTTTACCATTCATAATTTCCCCAAGTTTGTATTCTTAAACAATGTATCATATATTTTTAAATTTATATGTGTGAAATTATAATGAATGTATTCTTTTACGACTTTTGTTGATTATATCCTTTACATTGATCTGTATTGTTGTAGGTAGCTACAGTTTATCTTTCTCATTGTTGTGTAGTATTTCATTAGAGAAATTGCCTCTACTTTTTATTCTAATTGCTGTTCTTTTCTGATTTGGGATGGGTGAATTGTGTTGCTGCTCTGCTTTACTCCCCCCCTCCTCCCTTTTCTCCTTTGCAGTACTAGGGCTTGAACTCAGGGCCTTCACACTCAGGGCCCTTCCCCTTTAAATTTTTTATTTTGAGACAGGTTCTCTCTAGTCATTAAATTGCCCAGGTTGGACTAGAATTTATGATCCTTCACCCTCAGCCTCCCAGAGTGCTGGGATTACAAATGTGTGCCATCACGTCCAGCTTTGTTTTTACTATTATACACTGTGGCCGTCCTCCTTTCCTACTTCACATATACTATGAGAGTTTCTCTAGGGCAGTGAGGGCAACCCTTTTAGAGCCCCTTTTTTTTTGAGACAAGGTCTCACTATGTAGCCCAGGCTGACCTGGAACTTGAGAGCAGTCCTTCTGCCTCAGCCTCCCAAGTGGCTGGGATTACAGGCATGTCCCAGAGCTTTCAGTGATAACAACATCTGCCTGTAGCACAAGTGCTATACATTCACCACCACTGCTTCAGAATACGTACCTAAGAGTAGAATTGTCACTCTGAAGGACACATGCACATCATTTTGACTAAGCCCAATTTTTTTTTCTCCAGTACCAGGAATTGAACTCTGGGTCTTGTGCTTGCCAGGCAAGCCCAGTGCCACTGAGCTACATCCCCGGGTCCCCAGTTTTTTGTTTTTGGTAATGGGAATTGAACTCAGGACCTTGGGCTTGCCAGGCAGGTGTGGTGCCACTGCGTTAAATTCTCAGACCCCCAAAATTTTTAAAAAGTTTTCCTCTGTGTTCTCCTATTGGCAACCATAATGATGCCACTTGCTCTCTGTCCTTTCCAAAATTTTATATTATCACATGCTTAAAATTTAAAAACCTGCATGTTGAAAAACAGTAGGTCACTGTGGACTTGATGTGCAGTGCCCTAGTTGCCAATGAAACTGCACATCATTTCATGGGTTTGACTATTGACATTTTCTTTGTGAAACACCTGTCCAAGTTTCTAGACTAATTTTCTGTGAGAACATTGGTTTGTATGCTTGTTATTTTACTCTATGGTATATTTGCATCAACAGAAGCTCTTAATTTTTTTTTTTGGTACTGGGGATTGAACTTGGGACCTTGCGCTTACAAGGTAGGCGGCAGAACCACTGATCTAAATCCCCGGCCCCAGAAGTTCTTAATTTTAATATAGTTGAATTCATTAGTCCTTTGTGGATTTTACTTTTTTGTCTTAATTAAAAAATCCTTCTCTTCCTTGCCACCAAAAAGCTGCTGTCTAATATCTTCTGCAATATTTATAACTTTGACCTCCCTGTTTTAATTTACTGCAAATGATTTTTATGCATGATGTGATAGAGGTTGGATTTTCACCCCTCTGTTCCCTCAAAGTAACTACACCATTTATTGACAAATCTTCCCTTTCTCCCTTGATACACAATTCCAGATAATGTTATAAAATCACATCTCCAGGTATGTGTTCACACATATACACCCCAACGCCCCTCTCCACAGGGTTTTTTAATGTTGTTTATAACCTCACTATGCAGTCCAAGCTGACTTCAAACTCTCCTGCCTCAGGCTCCCTAATGGTGGGATTATAGGCTTGTGCCACTACACCCAGCTATTTTATTTTCATTGGTTTAATTGTCTATCCTTGAACAGCATCACGCTGGCTTAATTTAAAAAATTTTTTTTGGTACCAGGGATCAGGCTCAGGACCTTGCGCTAGTAGGGCAGGCACTGTGCCACTGAGCTAAATCACTGGCCCTGGCTTAAGTTTTATTTGCTACTTTTACGATCAAATGTATCCAATGCAAGCTGGAAGAAAGTCTAGTTTATTCACTACTCACCCTGTTGTCATACTTAGTATCTCTAGTTTCTGCAAAGATTCATATGTACTTTTAAGTCTCCTTGAATGTTGAAAGTAAATATTTTTTCCTACTATCAGGTGTACCAATAATCTTACAGTCTTCAAATTATTCCTGTTTTCAACATCTTGTTTATATATCTTGTTTATCTTTAGTCTGTGTTTGCTGATAATTTTGTGTCTCATACTTCCATCACATTTAGTCTGTGGTTTCTTTCTTTTTTTTAAGTCTGTGGTTCTTGTATCTGGCCTTTTCCTTTGACTCTTGGCTGCCACATTGTTAGATCAGGTTCTTATTAACATATTCTTCCCTTAGTCTCCTTGTACTGAACATCATTGATGAATGTCTCCACTTCTACCCTGAATATTCATCTTGTATACAACCAGCATCTGTGTCAGTCTTCACAAAGCTGAACTCACTGCATTGGCTCTTTATAGGTGATACATCCTCTTCAAAACAAGAACACCCTTAGGGCTTGTTCTTCACATTCATACATATTTTCTCATCAGAAAAGACCTTGATGACAACCAGGAAGAAGAATAAAATAATCCCATAGAAGCCTACATTTATCCAACCTTTAGACAGTACATTATATATTTTGGGAATAAATAAGAGTTTTGTCTTGATATTGTACAGAAAATGAGTTTAATAGTACTAGGGGCTGGGGATTTTAGCTCAGTGGTTCTGGTGCCTGCCTCGAAAGCACAAGGTCCTGAGGTCCATCCCCGGTACCTGAAAAAAAAAAAAAAATAGTACTAATTAAGTGTCACAAACAAAGTATCTCTCCATACTGGAGACTGACCCCAGGGCCTTGTGCATGCTTGCTAGACAGGTGCTCTGCCTCTGAGCTGTGTCCGTGTCCCTTTTTGTTTAACTTTGAGACAGAGTCTGCCTAAGTTGCCCAGGCTGGCCTGGAACTTGTGATCATTCTGCCTCAGCCTCCCACACCAGCTGGGATTATAGGCATGCACCATATCCACCAGATAACTTTTATAACTTTTTTAGGGATTGTGTGTTACCTGCTTTACTAGTACGATGAGTTAATTTGTTTAACCATAGCACAGATGTAACTTTAAAATTCTACTTATTAAGTTAGTCTACCTAGCAAAAAGTATAGCCTAAAAGTAATGTTGAATCACCATAATGTCATTTTATAGAACAAGTTAATAAAAACAATATATTATACTGGTAATGATGAAAAAAATAAAAACTTTTTTTTTTAAATAATAAAAACTTAAAGAGTAAAGAAGCAGGGCTGGGAGTGTAGCACAGTGATAAAGAGTGCTTGCCTGACATGTGCAAAGCCCTGGATTCAATCTACCACCACACATGGGAGTTTATCTTCTGCCTAAGCCTACTCCCTTCATTCTTCCTTTATTTTTTTGGTACCGGGGATTGAACTTGGGACCTTGCACTTGTGAGGCAGGTGGTGGAACCACTGAGCTAAATGCACGGCCCCTTCACTTTTGCTTTTGTGAGCACTTCCCAGCAAACCTTGTATAAGCAAGGTCTTACGATGTTTCCTAGGGGACCTAACCCAGGATACTAGGCATTAGGTAGCCTAGCATAGTGAGATAGAAGACTGCTTGCTTTTCTTAGTTGCACTTTGTGGGAATCCAGAGTAATTTCTCACAAATAAGGATATGTATGGCTGCATGTATATGACTTCTCTTTCTGCAGAAGCAGCCATATCTGGGTAATTCTTATTTCACATTTGGAGTAAGTAGTTATAGTAGGGGACTACTTGATCAGTTTCATATTCAGATCATTGGTTTCTACATTTCCTTAAAAACAAGACTTCTGAAGTGTTGAGCCTTTCTGATCACCAGTGTTCCAAGAAGATGAAGAAAAAAAAGTGAAAGCTCTATACAATATGCTAAAGGACTTATCCTTTGGGGTGGGGGGTGAGACAGGGTCTCATTCTGTAATTCAGGCTGGCCTTCAACTCACCATGTAGTCCTGGCTGGCCTCCAACTCATGGTGATCTTCCTGCCTCAGCTTCCTGAGTGCTGGGATTACAGGCTTGCACTACCACACCCAGCCAATTTTTGGCTCATTAATGAAGGAGCTTCTGAAGGTCATTGTGAGGGACCAGTGAAACTAAAATACTGCTAGTAAGATATCAGGACCATGAGCCTGCTTCTATAAAAATCATTGGAAATGCCAAATATCTTTGACAGTGAAACTGGCATTAATGAGCCACTGCTCTGTCTGCCTCTGCACACAGAAAGACATCTATAGTACACAGTAAAGGAGCTTACTAGCCAGGAGTGTCAGACAAAAATCAATCACATAAAACAATCACAGAGCCCAGAATATGAGTGATAATTAATTGTTCAGTTTCTTGTGGTTCAGAAAGTGTATATATAACCTTTGAGAAAATATACGCACCCATATGATATAGGACATTTCTACATATCACAAAGTTTCAAAGGTAACATCATTTCCAAAGAGTTTATATCTGAGACTTATATTAACTCCACATGCATCAGTTTTATTATCAGTTGAGGAACTGTTGGAAGCAAATAGTTGTTAGAAGTGAGCCCAATAAAAAAAATGCACTGATAAATTTTTCTGGCCCTATGGCACAGCTGTTCTGCCTGTATCATATGTGATCAGCAGGTCTCATAAGACTGTGCTCCCAGTTACTCCCTTCTGCATCGAAACAGGCAAGCCACGCCATGCCTGCCTGGTAAGTGAAAGGTCCTGAGTTCGATCTCTGGTACTGGGAAAAAAAAAAACCCAAAACCCCAAAACACAAAAAACAGGCAAGCTATATATTTTTGGGGTATTGAGGCAAAATAAGCAACCTCATGTATGAGATGGTTTTGCTTGAATACCCAAAAAATGTCAGGTAGCTTATTTTCCCCAGTATCAGGCATTATAGAAATAATACATTATGAAGACATTTGTCTTTTCACAAATGCTGTATTTATTTGCACCACAAATAACTTGTGCCAAAAATATAATAGGCTATAGGCATTCCTTGTTTAATGACAGAACACAGACCTGAGACTGGATTGTTAATTCAATTGGTTGCTAAATGAGGAATTGTATATAGTAGGTACATTACAATATTGAGGACAAAGAAATGAGCAAAGGAAACTCCCAACTGGCTGACTTTTATTTGTATAACTCTTACACGTGGTACTGTAATGTAGAACAGATCATAAAACTACTGTACAGTGCAGTCAGCAAAAATCAGTACTGTATAACAAAGGTGTACTGTACAAAAAAAGACATTGAGGCTCTAAACAAGATGTACTGAACTGTACAAAAAAAGAGATGAGTCATAAGTCTGAACAGTCATTAAATGAGGAACATCTCATTGCAAGCTGGGCATGATAATGCACACCTTTAATCCCTAGTATTCTAGGAGGCTGAAGCAGGAGTATTCCAAGTTTGAGCCCAGCCTGGGAAAGTTAGTGAGACTTGTATCAAAATAAAAAATAAAAGAAAGAGCTGGGGATATAGCTCATTATTAAAGGCCCTGTGTTCATTCCCCAGTGTCACACATACAAATTTATAAATAGTCATTGATACAATGGAATATTATCCAGTAGTTCAGATATGTAATACAGACTTAAATAGACAACCATATAGTTAAATCTCAGAAATACTATTGTATGAAGAGCAATTTGCACCCCCTTCCCCCCAAAAAACCAGATGTAGTGGCATATGCCTGTAATTCCAGCTTCTCAGGAGGCCTAGGCAGGAGGTTTGCAAGTTTGGGGCCAACTTGCACTACATGGCAAGACCTTTCTTTTTAAAAACAGGAATAATTACGAGAATGCTTAATTTCAGTCAGTATTCAAAGTGTGGAACTTTCTTGACTGGCAGATATCTGACAGATAAGTTAGAAGTAGGGCATGTATAAAAATGTAAATGACTGCTTCAGGATTGCACCATTGCTTAGGCAGTGTTATATACAGGTGATTCAGTTTTCACATTTATCTTTTCTGACAAGCTTTCCTTTTCCGAAGTGAGTTCCTTTCTCTGGAATAAATTTTATTCAAAGGGAGGGGAGATAGATTTTCCTTCTAATATTAGAGAAGTTAATGCTGTTTACTGCTGGTTCCTTGCTTATAAAAGGCTGGGTTGCCTGATTTTAGCTGTTAAATGACTGTTAGCCGTCAGTCTTCTGGGATAATTTTTCTTAAAACTTCACTTGGAAACAGTATATAAACAATTCTTTTGTGGCCTTGAAAATTCTCATCTCTTATTTCACAGGGAAATGATTATACTGAATGCTTAAACTATTTATTTCCAGTTCTCTTTCATCCCTGGGAGATTTTTGGCGAGACTAATTTTGGTGTAGTATAATCTTTGGAAAAACATTCAGATGACATTACCTAAAAGTTACAATCCCAAGCCCGATGTGCATTGTGCATACCTGTAATCCCAGCACTCTGGGAGACTGAGTCAGGAAGACTGTAAATTCAAGCCCAGCCTAGGCAGTTTGGTGACATAGTGAGGTCCTATCTCAAAATAAAAAAAGGCTATGGATGTAGCTCAGTAAAGACCCTGTGTTCAACTCCCCAGTACTGCCCTTCCCTACCAAGGTTACAATTCCTATTTCATAATACTTTTCTAATAAAGCATGTAAGTGCAATTGTGTATTTGTATAGAAACTGTAAAACCTGATTCTGGTAAGGATAATAATATACTCATATTTGGTGCATTTCATGCTTTGCTATGGGCCTTTTACATTGATCGGTACAACCATTTTCTTTTTGGCACTGGGGATCAAACTCAGGACCTTGTGCTTGCAAGGCAGGCGGCGGAACCACTGAGCTAAATCCCTGGCCCAGTACAACCATTTTTGAAAGAAATTTTATAGTAGTTTTACCTTTACAGTTTACCCTAAGGAGCTAGTCTAAATTACAGAAACAGCCACAGGTAGGCCCACACACTACCTCACAGATTTCTTTCCCCCAACAGAGTTTTTGTTACGTTTATATTTGGGTGATTATAAGATAAATTAATGCTGGGCTTTAGAAGATATACTAAATTTTGAACATATCTGGTATGAGTTAAATTTTGCCATAACTCTTTTAAGTACCTTTGGCTTCTCTGCTGGGAGTGTAAAATTACATCACTTGATTTCTGAGCCAGTCACCTTCTGTTTGATTTTGCCCAAAATTGTGCTTGGCGGCAGATGGAAGTTTCTGAGTTCCTAGGAATATGTGGTCTAAAGATATGATGGTAATAGGTATTGTTTTCCCTCCTTGTCCCCGTAATCAGAGTGTGCCTTAAGGTAATAAAGACGCTCAAAAGTCCAGTCATAAAGTGGGACTTTTAAAACTTGAACAGTTTTTTTTTTTAACTTTTTGGATAGGAAACTGTATTTCTATTAAGCTGTGTAACTTTGCCTTGCTTTTCTTTGTAAAGGGAAAATTCCTTCATATGATGATTGTGAGAGCACTCACCTGAGATGAGTGTAAAGCACTTAACATACTGTTCGGCACATCATAAGCACTTGATAAGATGGTGGTTGTTTTTATTTAGATATGTTCTTGACTTCGAATCTGAGGATATGGACCAGCAGAAAAAAAATAGTTGGAACTGTCATTGCGAGTTAGGGATGTAACCATGTAGCTCAGTGGTGCCAAGCCTGCCTGTCTGTCAAGCATAAGGTCTTTAGTTCAATCCCCAGTACCACAAAAACAAAACAAACAAAACAAAACTGTAATTGGGATGGAGAGTTTTTTGTGGGTTTGAATTGAACCTTAAGAGTTGGCTAGAGTTTAGCATATTGAGAAGTGTGATTTTAAATTGTTTTCTCTGTACAACCTCAGTTGTTTTTTTTTTTCTGGTACCAGGGATCAAACTCAGGACCTTGTGTTTGCTAGGCAGGCGCAGCACTTGAGCTAAATCCCCTGCCTTTTTTTTTTTAATACAGGGTCTTCCTAGTAGTTCAGGCTGGCCTTGAACTATGTATCTTGAACTTCAAGGTAATCCTACCTCAGGCTCCTGAATGCTGGGATTACAGGCATGCTACCACACCCAGCTTCACATCCTCAAATATTTCTAAATTTGCAAATTACCTGACTTTAAAAAATCCTCCTGTTTGAGATTCTAGATGTTTCATAAGTTGAAAAATATTTGGAGTATTGAAAAAAAAATCTGTACATGTTGTTGGTGTGTGCAATAGAACTTTAGATCTGCGTTGTTCAATCTGGCAGCAACTATATGTGACTATTGAGCACTAGAAAGGTGGCTAGTCTGACGAACTCAGTTTTAAGTTTTATTTAATTAATAATTTAAATTTAAAATTAACTAGTTATATGTGGTTATTGGCTCTACAAAGACCAAACACAAAAGTGCTCTTAAAATGAAATTAAGAATTTGTTGCCAAAGAAATAGAATATAAACAAAAAATTCTAATCAGTTCTTTTCCAATTTGCAAATTCATTACATAATTGTTTGTTTTGTTATAGGTCTCCAATTGAGAAACATGGCACTGTTTTCCTGCACTCTACCCACCTATTGCTGGACTTCTGTTGTAACAAGTTGGCAAACACTGGCTGGAACTGGGCTGCAATAAAACATGCCAGTCATCAATGCTGACAAGAGCCTAACAAGTGCCAACTTTCAGATGATTACGCATTTTGAATTCTAATGAACTGTTTTAACCTTCAGGAAGAATTGTAAAGACCTGTACATAGCACAACATGATCCGGATAATATATATACTGTTTATGTACATCCACATACACACCTTGTACCAAATAATGCTTTCTTGTAGTAGAATAAGAATCGTGTAAATTCTAAAAGATTTTAGCAGGTTTTCTTTCCTCATTCATTGTTTATCAGTTTTAAAAGACTCCTTAAAGCATGTCAGATGAAAAACAATTAGGATTAAAAGTTTCCATTTAATTTCCTTTGAACCATTAAGGCTTCATTAAACTCCTTCCACTTACAAAACTTTTCTATCTTTGTTTTGACACACTCCCTTTTGCTTTTGCCTCTTCTATCTGCCAGAAAGTTCTTAAGTCATTTAGTTCAAATACTGAAATAGTTAATGAGGAGTTACTTGATTTTTAATGATGACGCCAGAGGAGTGGTCATCACTAGGTGCTTTGTCCTTTTTGTATTCTAGTTGCACCCTTGGATTGGATGTAGCAATAACATTTTTTGGCCATTGAGAGCTCTTGATCCCAGTCATTAACCCCAAGAACTGAAAAAAAAACCTGTTGGTTCTAAATTCAGCTTACTGAAATTTACCCCAAACAATACCAAATTCTTGTTTGGTTTTATTTTTGCCCTCAATAGCCCAATATTAAGGGTGGATAAATAAAGCATGCATAGCTACTGGCTTTGTACTTCTGGGTTTGCTATTAAAAATGCTATTTGCCCTCATACCCTTCTTAGTCCTTCATATTTCTTTGCCTCTATTCTTCTACACTGCAGATTTTTCCTCACCCATTGTATAAAGAAATTGCGATGTATATTTTCATGTAATTTGATTTTGGAATTCTGTCACCTTATGTAGTGAGTTCTTCCAAAATACAATTTTTTTCCAATAATGTGTCAAGTTGTTGTTGGCTTTTATTGTATTGAATGAAGGTTATAATACTGAATGCCAGAGAAGTGCAGTTTAGAAAATCTCAGGTTGATTCCTTATGCAAACAAACTTAATACTTGAAAATCACATGGCCATGGCAGTATGTGAATTGGGTTCTATCTAGATTCTTAACATGAATCTAAAAAGCATTACAGGAGTAAATGGTTTGCTATTTGACATACAGATTCTGTCACTGACATAGCACTCTTGGATTTGATTAATGTCTGAGCATAAGTCTATTTCATATCATATAATTTAAAAAAACTTAGCAATTGATAAAATGAGTATTGCAGTGTTAGAGATTGGCCTACGCTTTTCTCTTTTTGTTACGAGGTTGAGAGTGGGAAGTAGTCTTTGACAGAACTTGAGGCAGTACCAGATGGGGCATAGTGTTTGATTGTGAGAATCAGTGCATCTCTGCTCTGAGGGGCTTTGGAGATAATGCTCTGGCAGAAGAGTTCAAGGATTCCTGCCAATAGTCCAGACCTCTACCAAATTTATATGTCCTTTTTAAAGCAGAAGTGAACTGGTTGAGGATTCACAGTAGAGTTCGATTTTTTTTTTTCTAAATACCAGTCTGTTTTCCACTCTGAAGTATTGTAAAAATCATAAACATTGTAAAAACCTGTAAATGTGTAGTGACTGTAAAAATTCACTGGAGCCCAATTTTCTTTGATAATTTGGTGACTTTTTTTTAAAGAATTGTAAAAAATTGTTGCCCCAAAGTGCTAGCATTGCACTCCTACAAGGAACTTGGAATGCAATACTTTTTACTCAGATCAGAAATTGTCCACATAGTGGTTGCTTGTGGCAAGATGGAGTTGGAATTTTCTTCTCCTATTGCTATAATTCTGCTAGCAATCTGTTGACTTAAAAACCTGAGATTTGACTCAACAAGTAGCTAATGACCTAGTACCTCAGGGACAACTATTTCTGAACTGTAAGTGCCACTTTAATACAGTTGGTTTGGTATAACCATGTGGTTACTTAGGGCTAGATCTAGGGGAGTGGAAGAGCCAGAAGTGAATGCCTCTCTCCTCACACTCTTTCCACCCTGTGCCCTGATCATGCTACGAACAGAAATACAGGCCTCAATAGATGTTAGGACTTCTTTTCCTCTGTCAGAGATGTCATCTGTGCCTTTCCCAGTGTTCATCTGACAATGTGAACTTAAATGCCTCTCTTGTTTGTTATTAAAGTCACACTCGGGTGACACTGAACCAGGTGGTTTTTGTCCCACCAGTACCTCATCATTAATGTGAGGTAATTCTTCTCTGCTTTAGGAAAAGGATTTTTCTCTCCTAACCTTGTGCCAATCATTGACATCTACATAGTCCTTTGGGTTGTAGAACTGTTGGCTGTTTCCTAAATTTATTCCAAGTTCTTGTAGAGGCTTTTATAGATTCAGTCTGTGTTCATAACAATGATCTCTCAGTGGCTTTCTGGCCGCCTCTTTTGAGTTTAAAATCCACATGAATTTGATTTCCTTGTCATTATAAACCTTGTAAGTTCATGAGGTTATTCCACTGGTTCTGTGATCACTTGGGGTGTCATGGTTATCTTTAATGGCCTTTATTCCCAGTTGTGAAATTTTATATGCTCACTCACTCTACAAATCTGCCCTCTTTGGGTTTTGGTGCCTGTGTATCTTGCCCGTCTGGTCTCCAGTTGGTGGAATTACCTTTTTTGTACTGCCACTTCTCAGCATCTTTGAAAATTTGACATAATGTTGCTTCATTCCAGTTTTCTTTCTTCTCTTTTTTTTTTAAGTTCTGTAATTTGTTGATTGTATTTAACTATGTGAGTTTTGTTGTGATGTTTACTGTATTGTAAAGCACCTCAATCATGTGATGGGTGCTCTATAAATCAATAAATGATGACTTAGAGGCTGTATCATGAGCTATTTTGGTTTTAGGGCAGGTCTCAAAAGCAAATTGTGGGATTCTTTCTGTATAAACAGCACATGATACTAAAGGGAGCACAGGGGAATCTTGATAAAGAATTTTGCAAACTTAAGGCAGGATGTTAACTTGACTTTCAACCTAGTAATAATACTCTTTAAAAATTTCCCTGTAATATACAACCAAGCACCATCTTTCATTAGTTTCTGTGCATAGTAACTTAGAAACTTAAAATGAGCACATGGTAGAACATTGTGGGGACTTTGTCCTTTGCTTAAACTGGCTCCACCTTATAAGTTAACAAGTTAACCAGTGAGGAACCCAGATTCAGATGTGAACTAGAAGATACCACAGACAACTCAATTCCCTCCCCTGTGGGAAAACTGGCCCAAATACAGTAACTACCTAGAATCCCTTAAGTTAGTGTCAAAAGAGGCAAGAATAAGCACTTTGTTTTTCTTTTAAACATACTGGTATCTAGTTTTCTGTCCTGAGTCCTTGTAGTTTATGTTAATTCAGTGTTAGGTGCTGGTAACTAACTTGCTGTGTTGGTAATGTTGTTTGTGTTTATAAATAGTACTTTGCCAGGGGTCTTAAGGCCTCTTCCTTAAAAACAGAAAACATGGAGCCAGTCCTCTTAGTTACAGCTGAATTAGAAACAAAATCTTCCCTGGGAGCAGTTTTAGGAAGACCGAGGATCATCTGTAGAGCTTAATTTCCCCAATTAATATACCTTTTTTGAAATAAAATAGTGGAATGATTAATCAGTGGTGCCACAAACCTGTGGCACACATTATTCAAAGCTCTAAAAGGTTTGCCATCGCTGGTCTAGATGATGTCCCTGAACTTTCAATATCCACATTACCCATAGACATCTACTGGAGGGATAGAGCAAGAAAACTTTTCCATGCTGCTTCAAGTGCAAAGGGACAGGTGGTTCATTCTACAATACTATGTGTAAGGTACTAGACTTCCAAGAAGGTTCAGTTAATTTTCTCTACCCTTGAGAAAGATAGGGCAATAACCACCTTATCAAAATTAAATTTTACATTTTCTGGAGGCCTACAAATCCCAGTAAGTTTCAGTTTGCCGAGCAACTTACTTCCCAGCTGTAGTCTAGTTGCTCAGTTTCAGATTCCTGCAATCAGCCTGCCAAGGTAGAATTTGCCTTTTTGGCTCGCTGAGTTGACATTCTACACTGAGCTTTAGTGAAATGATTATAGAATTTTGAGTCCTGTTCACATAGGTGAAATAAATTGAAGGAACTTTCACAAAAGGCAGCTGGACACATCTTAGACAAAAATTCCTAGGCAAGAAACATACTCCCTCCCCTTCTCAGTATCCATTAGACTTGGCCCAGCCCTCAACATACTACCCATGTAGAGATTTCATCTTCCCCTCTGCCATGATGTCACACTGCCTCCACAGAGGCTTTTTTCCCTTTTGTTTTAGAATTTAAGACAGCATCTATTTCCCACCTGCTTCATGTTCTTCCTTAAGATAACCCCAGACTTAACAATGTATGCAAAACTTGAACCGAGTATAACATACTATGTTCCAGTGCTCAGATTTTTCAAAATGTTGAAATTCAGCCTGCATCATTTACTGTAACTCAGGCTTACCCAAGTGTGTTGGGTGTTGCACTTCACTGGGTACTACAAATGCCTTATTTTACAGGCTTTATTACACTGTAGTTCAGGGGTTTCAGGCCAGTAGAGTCCAGTACGAAGATGGGGTAGAGTAACAATAAACCATTTCTTAAAGGAGTGCTTTCATCTCTCTGGTAAGAGGGTTCCTTGAAGGTAGGTTGTGATGAAGAGGCATTTAAATCCCTGAATTGTTTAAATCCCATCTGGTGAGTTCCAGTTTTACCTCATGCATCTAATCTAAGCACACTCTAAAAAGCCAGACATTTGTTTATTCCTGCATGTGTGCTTCTCATCATCAGTCTCAGAGTGGGCTGGGTTCTAGTTCAATTTCCTAGTGAAACGAATGAAGAATCTGAGATGCAACATAAGCTTGCAGGGACTTCCCCATCATCAGCGAATTATCAATTGTTGAGCCAAATTTGTAACTCTTAACTGCCAGTATAGCTAAACTTTTCACCTCATTAAACAATGGGAGCACCTACTATATAGCAAACCCTACCTAGTAGTGATGGTGAACCTTTAAAAATTTTCAGTGATAACAGCCGGCCGCAGCACTCTCGCCATTAGTTCACCACCACTGCCTAGGCTAAGGCCAGGGAGGCAAAGATTTAAGTCATGATGCAAAAAAATTATCAGCTACAATAGTACTCTCCAGCCAATCAGTAATCCCGAAATATTTTAGGGTACTCTACAGATGAATGAGACTGCTTGTGAACAGAGGAAGCTACCCTGGCTACCCTAAAGTCTTCCTATAAACCATTCTAAACGACAGAGAAGCTTTGAGCTATGCCACTTCCATTGAGCCAGGGAAGTACTCCCTTGCCCTTTGTCTAAAATGTGCTGCTTGCTCAGTGCAGCTCTAAACACCTCCCTGCACAAACTTTCTAAACACCTTTAGCCTCGTGACACAACTTGAACATTGATTCCTGAGCGCACAATTGTACACATTCAGTACCCTCTCTGCTTCCATCTCCTAGGTATCTACCAGCCAGAATCCCCTCTTCTTCCTTAAACTTTTAACCGTTGATCTATTTCCATGGTCAAAACAATTCCTTTGTCACATCATCTCACTACCTAATGCTTTAAACCTCAGCAGCACCTACAACTTCCCCAACACTGAACACTTCCCCTCTTCAGTTCTGATACCCTCATCTTCTTCTCAGATCTTTGTTTCAACATATCCTACTCCTAGCTGTTCTCCAAGGCCACCGCTTTCCCTGGAGCCTTTACTTATTGATGCATTCTTGATATTCCTTTGAGAAAAAAAATTAAAAAATTTTTTTTTGGGTACTGGAGATCGAACTCGGGACCTTGCACTTGCAAGGCAAGCACCAGAACCACTGAGCTAAATACCCAGCCCAAAATTTAAAATTTTTATGGTGCCAAGGATCAAACCCAGAACCTCACCAAGCACTGTTATAGCGTTTTTTGAAAGGTCTCATACTATTTAGTTATATTACTCTTTAGTCCTCCATTTTACTATTATGTAACAATTATCCCCACATTCACAAAATATTTTAACACCTAGGTTATGTTCTTTCCTATCTTTAAATTCCAACATCTGATTTTCTTGCCTTTTCATTTCCACTCTATGTCCCTATTGTGGGCTTTGTCATCTCCTAGTGCTGTTTAACTTATGAACTCCAATTTGTCACTTTGACTACAGGGTTCTCACAAACTTATTTGCTCCGCACCGATCTTCAGTTATTTTGGTGCCCTCCAGTTTTCATGACTCCTATCAGCCCCTAGCCACTAGTCATAATGACCTAAGCTGTAGTCTCATAACTCCCTCCCTCTTCTCTCTCTCTATAAATGTATATATAATTTTTAAAATTTGCAATAAATCCGAAGCGCTGGACATATGCTGTCATTCAGATTCTCTTCTTTTGCGGCCAGGTGGCTGAATTCTAGAAAAAGTGACCCATCCACAAATAAATGAGAAGCTGGAAACCATCCCTTCCAATCTCGGGGTCCTCTTCCAAGTTTTCTGCACTCCCCTCTGGTTTTCCTGCCCAAGAACGTCACATGTAAAGTTTATGCCATCGCACCATATCCCCGAGAGCTCCTCTCTCTGCACATCTAAATTTGCCCATATGTCCTTGTTTTCTAACGTCTTAGTGGAATAACAGGTGATCTGCCTCTGTCCCTTCCCTGAGTATTGTATCGCATGCAAAACATCTCACATACCGAGGGATCTAAAACCATAATCCGTTTTCTCTCCATTGGCTCCCTTCTCCCAAACTCTCACTGCGTTACAAACCAATCGACCAACAAAATCTTTCTCTTAGGGAAGCTTCTCCAAATAGTAATCTATATCCTTCGGGTCCTGCCAAGGGAGTTGAATATGACACAGCCCAGTCAGCGATTGTTAAATCGTCGGCCTCGAAAGTACCTTCTCAAGCCCAGTCCAGCGATCCGCTTCACTTTCTTTCACTCCTTACTCCTCGACTCCTCCCTTTGCCGCTCCTCCCACTGCCCTCGCGAGACTTGGTGACTCCATTCTGGGCGCACTTCTCGCGAGGCTGCAGGCAGAGCCCGGCCCAACATGGCGGAAGGTAGGATTTTTGTGGGTCCGCGCGGGAAGGCACGGAGTAGTGGGGCCGCTGCTGGCTGGACGGAGCATCTCTGGAAGGGATGGCCCGGCGTGGTCGCGTGGGGCACAGCAGGTCTCGCGAGCCTTCCTTTCCAGCTTCTGCTGAGCTTCACGGGCCGGGGTCCTGAGCGCCGTTCCTATGGCAACGCCCCTCCCGCTTCCTGACCATCGGAACCAGGGCGGGCTGCGGATCCGCGGTGGGAGGTCGGGTGCCGGGACTTAGTACTGCCACCGGGCTTCTAGGGCGGTAGGCTAGGCTCCTTGTATTATCCGCGATGCCAGGACGGCGGAGGAAGTGACCCTTTTCTTAGGAAATCGAAAGTGCTGTCCTGGCATGTCCTGCATCCGGAAGTGGTGCATCCCTACTGAAAAGCTGCTGAAAACCTTGGGGCTCTTCTGGGTGAGGGACTGGGGAGAGCTAGGGCTGCAAGGATCAACGCACCGTGGGCACGCACTATCTCTTCTCGGCCCCGCAGCAGGCTGGGGTGGGGGGACTTGCTTTGGTAAGGGAGTTGGCCAAGGTCACAAGGTTCGCAGGAGGTGTGCTAAAACCAGACCTCGGCTCCTTTGTCTCCCAGTCCAGTCCTTAGGTTCTGCTTCCTTCAGTGTAGCAATATTAGGAGCCTTCATTGTTAAAGCCTTACTGTACCGGTGGCCAGAAAAGAAGACCCAGCGATGGGGAGTTACCTGCCAGGGATCATACAGTGATAAGAGTTGGACCTGGCCTTGGTACCTCTCCTGGCTACCCTGTGGCTGCAGAAAAATACTTGTTTGACCTAACGTTTGTTGAATGACTGCACTTGGTCGTGACTTGTCCTGCTGGTTTTGAGCTAAGCTTTGACTAAACCCACTGTTTCTTGGCTCATAGATTTGGGTAGCATATAACAGTTTTATAGGCTTTTCTCATTTGGATTATATTTAAGAATAACTTTGTGAAGGACATGTAGGCATGTTATTTGCTGTTTAGATAAAGAAATTCAGATCAAAGTTATACAAATAGCTGGGACTTGGGCTGGGGATTTAGCTCAGTGGTTCCACCACCTGCCCTGCAAGTGCAAGGACCCACGTTCGATCACCAGTACCAAAAAAAAAAAAAAAAAGAAATAACTGGGACTGGACTCTGTGTTTATCTTTGGCTTTCTTTTTTTTTTTTTTTTTGAGACAGGGTCTTTCCATGTAGTTCAGGATGGCCTTGAACTCACAGTGTATCCCAGGCTGGCTTTGAACTCTGTCCATCCTGGTGCCTTGGCCTTCTGAGTCCTGGGACTACAGGTGTGTGTCACCATGTCCGGCTTATCTTTGCTTTTCCTACCTTAGACCCCCTGGAGAGGGAAATTGGGTGAATACTGTCTGAAAGGAGAGGAGGGACCAAAAGAACAGGAAAGGAGGCTAGGTTTTGGATAAATCACAGAATATTGTTTTACACTGTGGGCATCTAGTGAGTTTGTTGCTCAGACAAGTGAGGTGGAGAAGGAATGGTCAGGATGGCCTTATGGGAGACTGTGGGTTTTTTATAGTAGGGATAGAAGTTGATTTTTGTAGGATTACACTACCAAGGTGGAGGTTGTGGAGGGCAGCTGGTTTTTTCATTCAGTGGTTTTACTGAGCACCTATTGTGCTTTATCTCAGGTTCCAGCCCCAGGGAGTCCATACAGGCCGAGGTCAGTATACAGATCATTTACCTGCAGGCGCCCTCAGCTATGTCTTAGGGTGAGCTTGAGAGACATCTAGCCAGTGGATAGGTAAGCAGTCTTGAGATTCTGACTTCACAGTTTTATATTTTTTTGCATCTCAGTTCTTCCCTTAGTTCTAATTAAAACTTTTCAAAAACGATGTTGTGGACTTTGATTAGGAAAACTTGAGGAAGACATTTTAGGCCAGTCAGGTCATTAAACTGAAGGTGCTTAATATGCATAGGAAGCAGAAATAGCTAGGAAATGTTTTGTGAGGTGTTACTTATTTAATGCTGCTTGTATTTTAATCAGAACTGGCAGAGCTGGCTACTGTTGTTTTGAGATACTTCTTTACCTATAAGCCAATAGCAAAAGTTTATGTTATGTAACAGATTATCTGTAAGCACAGTCCGTGGAAACTGCCCTGATATTGGTGGTGGTTTGATGATAGTGAGAATTAGGGCCTAGGAATAGCAATAGAACCTGGAGAGACAGAGTAAAATATACATTAGTTTCAGTACAGTAACTTCTTATGTGACTTTTTATGTGGCTATTTAGAAAACAACCTTCTTTTCTCCCATCAATCCATGGCTTGATTTGACTATAAGACAGTATTTAGCTTATGTCTGTCATAAAATTGATTTCCATTTCTACTCTAGGTATGTCTCTTTGGCTGTCTTACTAATCTTTGCTTCAAAAGCCTTCTAGATAGTCTTCCTGCTTTTATTTTTTTCTCCTTGATTTTGCTTCCCCATAGCCTGTATTTACAGTTTCTAGTGTCCCTTTAAAACAAATCAGATCTTACCTCTCCCATTCTCAATACCCTTACCCCTCTATTCTAACTCCATGGTTCTGTATGATCTTAATGTATATTCCAGAGCCTTTCAGTGACCTTCAAGTTCCACCAGAATCTGGCCCTTGCTTAACACTGCAACCTTATTTCCTACTTCTCTTCGCTATGCCCCGTCACATTAACTGGCTGTTTTTGTATATGCCCAACATGCTTTTATTTCGGTCTTTGTCCTTGCAGTTCCCTTGGTCTGGCACAATCTTCTTCATTTCTCTGTGTGGCTGAAGAACTTTTAGTCATTTTGTTATCCATTCAGTTGTCATCTCATTAGAGAGCTTCCCACACTGGAGGATAAACCTCATGAGGACAGGAACTTTTTCCATTTTGTCACTGCTGTATCTTTCAACATCTCATCCCATCCCAAATGCTAAACAGTCATGTGGCTAATGGTATCCTTACTAGACAGCACAGGTTAGTAGAACACTTGCATGTTCATTTTGCACCAGATAGCGCTACTCCAAAAAATGCTTACTTAGGAGAGGGTGGTCGAAATTGTGAGAGAAGAAACTTTGCTGTCTTTCCAGTTTTGAAATTTATCTATTCATTTATGGTTTGATTCATTCGAATATCACATGTGCCAGGCTGTCAATAATTATGTAGACTAGAGACCTCTTAAGCACTATTCTACTCCATTCTTTCTTTCCTTTTCCTTTCTTTCACTTCTGTCACTTTTATTAGCTTTCTCCATGGGGATTTTTTTTTTTTAAACAAGGAAACAGGTTATCCTTTTACCTCCATGATTGTGGATCCTACTGAGTCATGCTGAAACATAACAGGGTTTAGTTGCTAGCAGGGTGTTTTGCTACAGTAGTTTGAGACATTGTCATGGTTTTTAGTCATGCTGAACAAAACGAGAAATTGCTGTCTCAAGACTTCCTTGTTGAATCTGAGTAGAGCACAGACCTTCTGTGGTATTTTTTGAACTCCACTTCGTAAGATACCGTAGGGGGGAGGATAGGTAATCATAGAGTTGTAGTAGAGGCAGAAGTCAGTAGTTTAAAAAGAATAGAGACCTAAAACCTATTTATAGGGAACTCCGAAGTCTAGGAGTTTAAAAAAAAAGTTTAAAAAGTATGATAAACCATCATAAGGTGAAAGGTGAAAAGCACTTAGGAGTTACTGTGAAAGATTCAAGAATAGGAAGAACTTTTTGAGGGCCATAGTGGGAAGCGTGTTTTGAGTGGTCTTTGGTTCAGGAGACAGTGTTTAAGCTGGACTTTGAAAAATAGACCTCTTTTGGATCTGGGGACATGAGAATAGGGATTCAGTATTCTCAATCGAAGGAGTAGTAGGATATGAGGTTGAAAAATGTTAAGGACCGTATTTCTGAAAGTTCTTGTTAGAGCATTTGTTAGATCCATTTATTCTGTGGGTGGGTGAGGGGGGGTGACATTGCCAAAGGGTGTATCAGCCAAGCTAGGGACTACTGAAATGAGGCATGTTGATGTTGCCGCAGGATAGAGGATGGATTTAGAAGGAAGGGAAGCTAGAGGGGAGGGTATAACAATTGATTAGGAGTCACTTGGTAAGGGGCATTGAGGCTGGTGAGGATTGATGTGAGAGGAGAGACGGTAGGAGGCATCAAGACAGGACTTTTGAAACCTTAAATGTTGGGAAGAGAGTTATCAAAAGTGTCTCAAGGGTTCTAGATCTGGATGACTCAGATAATGACTGAGCTGCCAACAGAAAGAGGAGGAACAGATTTAAGAGCAAAATATCTTTTTTTGTTTTGTGTTTTTGAGGTCTTGCTGTGTATTTCAGGCTGGCCTTGAGCTCACCATGTAGCGCAGGCTGGCCTTGCGAGGCAGTCCTCCTGCCTCATCCTCCTAAGTGCTGGGATCACAGGCATGCACCACCACACCTGACTGAGAACAAAATTTCTTGAACTCAGTTTCATAGATTTCACCCATTCTTTCCTCTATGCCAGTGGTGGCAAACCCATGGCACGCGTTTTGTTTTTCTTTTAATAGAAAAGATGTCAATATATGAGTTGTTTTTTCTAAACTAAAACCTCAGTATTCAGGTTTAATAGCAATGTTGGCACTTTGCGATAAATAAGTGAGTTTGGGTTGCAATTTGGGCACTTGGTCTCTAAAAGATTCTCCATCACTGCTCTGCTGTTATTCCATTAGTTCAGACTAGTGGTTCTCAACCTGGAGAACCTTGTACATTGGAATCACCTGGGGGGGAAAAATGGGACTGGAAGGAGCACACTTAATTCCTGAGCTAATGAATTAATAAATGATCAATAAATCTTTGATGTTCAGACATTGGAATTGAAATCAGTCAGCATGGTATAGTGAGATGTGCTCTTAGTTAAGACCCTAAATCTTGAATCTGCCTCCTGCCTAGTTATGTGATTTTAGGTAGTCCATCTAACCTATGTGAATTCATCTTTTTCGTTTTTTTGGGTTTTTTGGTACCCGAGATTGAATTAGG